AGGATAAAACTGTGAAAAGTGACAGATGTATTTCACAATATACTTAAGTATTAACTAACCACATTTTTAATTTTAATTTTATTTTTTTTAAATTTCTTATAGTTTATTTTTGAGACAGAGAGAGACAGCGTGAGCAGGGGAGGGTCAGAGAGGGAGACACAGAATCTGAACAGGCTCCAGGCTCTGAGCTGTCAGCAGAGCCCCAGGCGGGGTTCGAACCCACAAAGCGTGAGATCCATGACCTGAGCTGAAGTCAGATGCTCAATGTACTGAGACACCCAGGCGCCCCTTAATTTGAATTTAAATTTAAAATTTTCAACTTTGGGGGCACCTGGGTGGCTCAGTCAGTTCAGTGTCCAGCTACTGATTTCGGCTCAGGTCACGATCTCATGGTTTCCGTGCTGACAGCAAGGAACCTGCTTGAGATTCTCTCCCTCGCTCTCTGCCCCTCTCCCATGCTCGCTCACTCTCTCCCTCTCTCTCTCTCAGAATAAATAAACGGGGGCGCCTGGGTGGCTAAACTGGTTAGGCGCCAGACCAGCTCAGGTCAGCGTCTTGTGGTTCACGAGTTCGAGCCCCGCGTCGGGCTCTGTGCTGACAGCTCAGAGCCTAGAGCCGCTTCAGATTCTGTGCCCCCCCCCCCTCTGTCTCTGCTCCTCCCCCGCTGGCGCTGTCTCTCAAAAGTCAATAAACATTAAAAGAATTTTTTAAATAAAAAAAATAAACTTAAAAAAATAAATAAAAAATAACACTTCCGACTTTGAAAGGAGTTCAGACCTGAACTGCACTATCTCGCTCGCCTGCGAAGGAAGCCACCCTAACAGCCCCCGAGGGGAGCCGTCTGAGCGCACGCCGACCCCGGGCTCCTCGGCCGTCACGACCAGGGACACAGGCCCTTGCTGCGCCCCCGGCAGAGACGGCGGGCCAGCTGGGCGCAGTCGGGGCTGCCCGGCCTGCGGGACGCGGGGCCCAGGCCGTGGGCGCCGGAGGGGCCCTGCCGAGCTCGGCCCAGGGCGGCGAAGAATCGCTGCCGCCACCAGAACCCCCAAGGGCCACAGTCAGCGCATTCAGGGCGCAGAAAAGGCGCTTCGGGGCACCTGCGCTCGCAGCCGCTGAGCCACTCGGGGAAGGGCCAAGAAGCCAGGAGTGTGTGAATAAACCCCCTCCACAGGCAGGCCACCCGCCCCGCCCTCACTTTCACAAGAGGAGCAATCCTCGCCCTGACCTGGAAGGACACAACTGTGGAATCCCATGGAAAGCTCCTCTCCATCTTGTGTGGAGACGGCGCCACCTTGTGGGCCCAGGAGGCGCTGCCGCAGCGGACAGCCCACGGGTCGGATCCTGCGCCGCGTTCCTCGCCCAAAATCTGAGACACAGGACCGTGAGAAAACGCGTCCCCGAGTCCGCGTGAGGCTCTCACTCACTCCTGGTTTCTAACCATGAATCTGCGTGGGGCGCTACCCGACTATTCTCGCATTGTACACGAGGCTCCCAACCTATCAAGGAGATTCAAGGGAGTGATCACTTCTATTTTAAGGTCCCCTTCACTTAAAAAGCATCCACTAAACATCAAGGTCTTCTGGTGCACGTGGCTCTCGTTAGAGTTTGGAGCGGGGCTACTGGGACTGGTTAGGAATGACTTTTGTTTGTTTGGATCGAGGGGCTGTTTATCAGTTACCTGCCAAACACAGGGAAATGCGGACAGACACAGGCATGGTGATGCGAGGGAACAATCCAGAACGAGTCATGGTCAGTGTGGTGGCGTAGTGTTTAGTGAATGCTTCATTCTATGAGCTGAAAGATATTCACAAATTGTGCAGACCTCTCAGAGGAATTACTCTGTACTTACTACAGAAGCAGCAACAATAATCCTCACGTCTGCTTGAAATATTTCAGAGTCCCCAAATCTTCTGCACTATAAGACCTCCTGAAAATCTGGTTTCCAGGTACCTTGACAGTAGTTAGACAGGTACCCGAGTCACTGAAAAGCTCTGTCCTGCTCCTCACCTGTCCCATCCCTGTCGCCAGGGGAGACTGTGAAGCTGGTATTCTGGTCTCTACAGCCTGGAGCTTATGCCTGGCTGGAGCACATCACCACCAGCCTCCGGCCTCCCTCCCTCACCTTCTCTAGAGGACCCCCGGAGGCAAGTCCCACGGGTTCCCCAAGGTTTGAAACAGCACTTTGATCAAGGAGTACAGGTTCCAGAAAAAGTTGATTTTTTTAAGTCTTTAAAATAACTTTTAAATGTTCTTTTAAGGGCGCCTGGGGGGCTCAGTCGGTTAAGCGTCCGACTTCGGCTCAGGTCATGATCCCACAGTCTGTGAGCTCAGGCTCTGCATCGGGCTCTGTGCTGCCAGCTCAGAGCCTGGAGCCTGCTTCGGATTCTGTGCCTCCCTCTCTCCCTGCCGTCCCTGCTCGCGCTGTCTGTCTGTCTGTCTCTCTCTCTCTCAAAAATAAACATTTAAAAAAAAATTTTTTTTAAACCAAAAGTGAGGAGACAAATCAGGTGACCCTGCAGTGGCCGAACTCACTGCCCAGAGCCAGCAGCCCAGGAAGCACAGGCAGGGGGTCCCAGGCCGAGCCAGGCAGCCCCCTCCTCCTAGAGTCAGGGGAAGAAACTCAAAGTTTGGGAGGCAAAGGCGGCTACAGTCAGTAGGGCGGCAGACCAGAATGGGGAGCTGAACAGAGCGAAGGCTCCGGAGATCTCCAGGGGGTCCCCCTCGGGTCTGGGAAAGAGCCTGCAAGAGAGGCAGAGCAAACAGTGCTGGCGGGAGACACTTTCCTCCGGCCAGAGCGCAAGACCTCGTCACCAACCAGCGTCAGGCACAGGACTCAGGGTGGGAAGAACTAGCCCAGACTAAAGACCTCTCTGGTGCCTTAACACTACGTCCAAGTAACTCAATCACATCCCAGAGCAAAGCTCAAGAACATTTATAGGGGGCACCCGGGTGGCTCAGTCAGTTAAGTGTCCAATTCTTGCTTCGGCTCAAGTCATGACCTCACAGTTCTTGGGTTCAAGGCCCAATCAGGCTCCACGCTGACAGTACAGAACCTGCTTGGGATTCTCTCTCTGCTCCTCTCCTCTGCTCACACACTCTCTCTCTTTCAAAATAAATAAATTTGCGGCACCTGCGCGGCTCAGTCAGTTAAGTGTCCAACTCTTAATTCAGCTCAGGTCACGATCTCACAGTTCATGAGTTTGAGGCCCAAGTCTGGCTCAGTGCTGACAGACTGGGATTCAATCTCCCCCTCTCTCTGGCCCTCCTCACTCATGCACATGCTTGCTCTCTCTCTTGCTCTCAAAAATCAATAAATAAATATTTTTAAAAAATAAACAGGGACACCTGGATGGCTCAGTTGGTTGAGTGTCTAACTTGGACTCAGGTCATGATCTCACAGTTTTTCGTTTCGAGCCCTACATTGGGCTCTGTGTTGACAACTCAGAGCCTGGAGCCTGCTTCAGATTCTGTGTCCCATTTCTGTCTACCCCTCCCCTGCTCATACTCCATTTCTCTCACTCTGAAAAATAAACATTAAAAATTTTTTTAATAAAAATAAACAGACATAGAAAAAAAAACTTTTATAGAAACGCCAAAACACTCAGCACCTAACAAGGTAAAATTCACACCTGACATCCCACCAAAGGTTGCTGGGCATGGTAAGTAGCAAGTAAACACCTCACAATGAGATCAATCGATCCATCAAAAACAACTCAGAAATGACACAGTTGACAGATTAGTAGACATTAAAACAGACATTATAGCCATATTCTGTATGTTCAAGAAAATGTAGGACAGACAGAATATGTTAAGTATAGATGTGAAAAATGTGATGAAGTCTCAATTCAAACTTCTAGATATGAAAAAGACAAAAAATACCCTGGATGGAGTTAACAGCGGACCAGACAAAGCAGAAGAAAAGATTAGTGAACTGGAAGACGTATAAACAGGAAGTATCCAAAATGAAACACAGAGATTTTTTTTTTAACGATAGAGAAGAGCCCCAGTCAGCTCTGGGACAACCCACAGAGCTCTAATGTGTGTACACACGTTATCATCACACACAGTCCACGTGCGGGTTATTCTCAAAGTCCGCAAAGACATGAAGAAGGAGGAGAGACAGAAGATAATCAAAGAGATGTTGGAGAAAATTTTCCAAATTTGATGAAAACTGTAAAGTCACAAATCCAAGAATCCCAATGAATCCCAAGCACAAGAAACATGAAGAAAATGACTCTAAGATCATCCATTGTAGTCAAACCGCTAAAAATCACTGAGAAAATATTGAAAGAAGCAAGAAAAACATTACATTACATGCGGAAGAATGAAGCTATGAGTACAGATGCCATGGCTCGGTGTTGTATACAATTCTAGAAGATGCAAGCTGATGCACGGTGACAGAAAGCAGCTCAGCGGGACTTGGGATCTCGGCCCTGGGGGTGGTGGGGGCAGGAGGGAGGGGTCACAATAGGGCAAAAGGAAACCTTGGGCCTCACAGGTACGTTCACCATCCTGCCTGCGGTCACGGTGTCACACGTGTGTATACGTGTCAAAAAACTTACCAAACCACACACTTGAAATATGTGCGGTTTACCGTTAGGTGACTGCACCGCCATAGAGTTGGGGGGGTCGTCTGGACCAAGTTACAGGTAATCGTTCAAAATCTCAAACTGACACCCACGGGGGAGGCTGAGAGCAGGAAATGGAGCCTTTCCTCGGCGGAACCGCCGTCCGGAAACAGGAGGAACAGGCGGCCGCTTCACAGGCACCTCTTCCAGGAAGAGTGGTGCAGACTCCATGATCGAGAGGACCGTCACTACGCCTTCTGCCGCAGGAGAAATACCGCGACTCGGGTTCCATTCCGGGTGCGCGTTCCTGGTGCCCCTGCTAGGCTGTCCTCCCTACTCCGCTTCCGACAACACGTCCCCTTTCCGCGCACCCGCCTGGAGCCCGGCGCGGGGGTCAGAGAGGCAGGCAGGCTCACCTGAGAAGCTGCTCACCTGAGAAGCTGCTTGGAGGAAGGAGGCCCCCAGGTCCTGGTCTCCCACCAGCCTTTCCTCCGGGGCGGCAGCAGGCGCGCCAACGGCCACGGCTGCAGAGAGGAGCATAAGGTTTGAAGACTCTGGGTGTCGTCGCAAACCACTCCCCGGAGGGCGCAGGGGAAATCGTACACATCAGAACAGGTCCCCATCCCCCCGCCCAACAAACCTCAGTTCCTCTGACCTTGCCAACAGTCTCACCCACGGTTTCCTCCTCCTTCCTCACAACCAAATCCCACGTGGCCCGGCCCAGCCGTGCAGGAGACTCACGGACCAAACCTCCCACCAGAGGGACTCACTGGGTCCGCCCCATCTCCAAACTTTCTAGAGACACCGAAATCTGGCAGCAATCACCGTCACCTCAGCCTCGGGCCGACCAACCACAGTCCCCAAATCTCCCCGAGGACACAGCACACCCATATCACCACAGGGAAGCGCCCCGCACCTAATTCTTGCTCCACGTCCGACTCCTCTTTGACGGCACAGCTGGGAGGCTCCCTGGGGCCAGAGGGAGCGCCCCGAGGGCCCAGCTCCTGAGGCCCCACTCCAAGATGGTGCCCCACTTCCCCCACTTGGCAGCTTGCAGCGTCCATCTTCTCCGACAGGATGTCCTGTCCCAGAACTTGGATGCTGATCTAGAGGCCACACAGAATTAATTACTGAAAGATCCAGAATGAGGTGGGTGCTCTGAAAGAAACAGAGCCAATGCTCTAGGACAGATCACAGGCCAGTCCTTGGGGACACGGGGCAGGGGAAGAGGAAAACTAGCTTTTCTGTCTAGACCAGCAGGAAGCCGTGAGGAAAACAGCCAGAGAGAGGCCAAAAGCTGAGCCTGATTCAGGCCTGGGAGGCCTTCAAGACACGCCATCGAGAGGTATCTGGGGGGCTCAGTCAGTTGAGCGTCCGACTTCGGCTCAGGTCACTATCCCCCAGTCTGTGAGCTCAGGCTCCACATCAGGCTCTGTGCCAACATCCCGGGGCCTGGAGCCTGCTTCGGATTCTGTGTCTCCCTCTCTCTCTGATCCTCCCCTGCTCGCCCTCTGTTTCTGTCTCTCTCTCTCTCTCTCTCTCAAAAATAAGTAAATGTTTAAAAAATTTTTTTAAAAAATAAAAAGGTCATCAACAATGTGTTTCCACTGGAGAGTCCCCACCGATGAGAACTCAGCGTCCTCCGGACTCCAGTCACCTTGGTGTAAAGATGGAACGCGACATGAAGCTGTAACCTCTATTTGTAACGGTGAGAAAGTGCTCAGAGTCCCAGGGGGCCTTAGAATTAGGGGGGATCTGGGGACACACTGATGCGATATAATAAAAAATATGGATTTGGTCTCTGTCCCAGGTGCTGGACACAGAGTTCCTAAAACCCTTGGAATTGCCCTAAAGGGAGTGACGGCAGCAATTCTGTTATTCACGATGAGCCCCTCTCAACCACACCTGAGTTGATGCTAAGCAGGTGACGCTCGGTGGCCCCCAGATAGCTTCAGGACGGGAGCCCAACGTGTGATCAGAGGATCGACCTCGCAGCCCCAGCCCTCTACCGCTAAGGAAGGGAGAGGGGCTGGAGATTTTCAGTCACCAACAGTCAATGATTAATCTCTCGTGCCTCAGTAACGAAGCCTCCACCAAACTCCCTAAACGGTGGGGTTGGGGGAGCCTCTGAGTTGGTGAACACACAGAAGTACTGGGGGATGGGGGTGCAAGCCCAGAGAGGCCACGGAAGCCCCACGCCATCCCTGTTTTCTCCAGGCTCTTTATCATAAATCAGTGAGCGTAAGCAGTGCTTTCCCAAGCTCTGTGAGTCATTCACTTTTGAACCCGGGAACCTGCAAATGTACAGCCAGTCGGTTGTTCAGGACAGTTGGCCTGTGTGACCTGTGACCGGTGTCTGAAACATAGGAGCGTTCTTGTCAGACTGACCCTTATCCCACTGGGTGTGCCAACCCCAGAATATTGGTGTCACGTTTGAATGGACTTGTGAGACACCTGACTGGTAGCAGGAAGTTGGAGAAGAAGAGCGCCTGGGGGGTTCAGTTTGTTAAGGGTCCAACTTCAGCTCAGGTCATGATCTCGCAGTTGATGGGTTCCAGCCCTGCGTTGGGCTCTGTGCTGACAGCTCGGAGCCTGGAACCTGCTTCGGATGCTGTGTCTCCCTCTCTCTCTGCCCCTCCCCTGCTCACGCTCTGTCTCTCTCAAAAATAAGTAAAATATTAAAAAAGAAGAAGAAAAAAGTTGGGAGAACTGGTTGTTAGTGTGGAAAACCACACACACTGAGTCAGGAGAAAGGACAAGACGCCCGGTGAGACCCCACGGGGGCCCAGGGCCCCGCACTTCGCCGGCAAGTGACGCCCCCTGCTTACCCACCGCCACAGTCTCTGGGGGTCTCCCTTCAAGCTCTCCACGAGGGTCACGGCCTCCTCGCCGCTGCCCGGGCGCTGCGTCCGCACCCACATCTGCAGCTCCCCGGGCAGGATGGTCAGGAACTGCTCCAGCATCAGGATCTCCAGGATTTGCTCCTTCGTGTGGACCTCCGGCTGCAGCCACTGGAAGCACAGCTCCCGAAGCTGCCTCAGTGTCTCGTGGGGCCCGGACGCCACCTGGTACCGAAACTGCCGGAAGAGCCGGCGGGCGGCCTCGGGATTGGAGAGGTCCCCTCGGGGCACCGCGTCTGCTCCGGACAACGGGGACTCCTCGGCCTTGGCCAGCGGTGCCAGCAGGGCCAGGGCCTGCCCCAGGTTGACAGGCATCATCTGGCTTGGCAGGTCCTTGGGGGCGAAGTGGTTCCCGGGTGGGGCTGTTTCTGCGGAGAACCAGGCCGTCACCGAGGCTCTGGCGGGGACACTGGAGAGGGACAGTGAGCCTGTGCTGGACAGGGAAGGACAGAGTATCGGTAAGAACAAATTCACATGTCCTACTTGGGAACCGGCGGATCTACAATTCTACCATGAAAGACCAGAAACCCGAAGACACCGAGTGAGTTGCTAACGCCGTCTCTACACTGGCATCTTCATTCACCCAGACCGTTTTACAACAGTCTCTCCTGGTCTTCAAAGGCCCAGACCAAGGAGAAGAAAGAAATGCACCACGGGAAGCGCTTCCGCTCCCGGTTTCCAAGTAAATGGCTGTTCCGCACGACACTCCCTTATCGGCACCCGTGAGTCCACAGACTACAAAGTAAAGCTGGACCAAGACACCATCAACGCCCTAGAAGGGCTGATGCTAAAACGATCTGATGCTTCCATAACAACTATGCGGTTAAGGAGAACAAATTAATTCCTTCCCAGGGACGTTCCCAGGTGACCTCTTTTGAGGCTGGCGTGGAGGACTAGACCACTGGGGACTGATGAGAAACCTGTCCCAGCTGAAGTGTTCAACCTTGAGCTTGGAGAAGGCTGAGAACCAACAATGATGACCTCAAAAACCTTCCTCTGGCCTTGAACTGTACTGTATGATATCTGGTCTAAAAATCTGGAAGACAGCAACTAGGCTAGTGGAAAAAGAAATGTTAAGTGACCAAGTTAGTATTCAGAAATGTTTAAAGGATCATGCACTATTTCTAGTTAACTGTCTTGCAGTTAATCCTAATATTGGACTATTGGGTCAATCCTTAAATGTTATAAAAGAGCTCCAGGCCACCATCCCTCCATAAACTAACTGTAACCATAAAAACATACACACCCAATCACTCAATCTGTCAGGCTTCATCAGAGATGGGTATAATACTCCAGCTTTTAGTAGCTGCTTTTGTCTTGTGGTGTAAGGAATGTCTTCCTTCCTAGCACTCCAAACAATTCATCCTATGTCAGAAAATCATTTAAAAACTATAAGTAAAAAATAGAATAAAATAAAACATTTCAGGCAAAAAAGCAAAGGGTAAGGGGCACCTAGTGGCAGTTAAGCATCCAACTTTTCACTTCGGCTCAGGTCATGATCTCATGGTTTGTGTGTTTGAGTCCCACACTGAGCTCTGTGCTGACAGGGCGGGGCTTCTTGAGATTCTCTCTTTCTCTCCCCCTCCCAGCTGGTGTTCTCTCTCTCTCAAATAAATATTTTAAAAAAAAAAAAAAAGACAAGAGGTAAAAAAAGGATTAAAGGATTAATCCAGAGGCATTTGGGTGGCTCAACTGGGCTGAGCATCTGACTTCAGCTCAAGTCATGATCTCATGGCTCGTGAGTTCAAGCCCAGCGCTGAGCTCTGTGCTGACAACTCAAAGCCTGGAGCCTGCTTCAGATTCTGTGACTCCCTCTCTCTCTGCCCCTCCTCCTGTTCATGCTCAGTCTCTCTCTCAAAAATAAATAAACATTTAAAAAATGTTGTTAATAAATTAAAGGTTAATCCAGTATCATAGGGTTCACATGTGGACTTCATTGCCCTTATTTTTTTGGTTCAAAAAGAAACCCACATATTTTGTTCATTTATTCCAACAGAAGCCAGGGTGCAGGGCTGATCATGTGCTCAGTAAACATGTGTTTGGGTAATTCTGCTTCTGGCCACAGCAGAGGACCTGGCAGTAGACGCACCCATCCATGGTACAGAACTGCAGCAAACGTTTAGGGCAACCGCTCTTCAGCACAAGACACCAGCATGCACGAATGAGTCCCCGAGAGAAGAACGCCTCACGGGGAAGAGGCCCGCCATCATCCTGGCTGTCTGCACGGCAACGGCAACGGTGCAGGATGCTGGAGCTCGGGCGGGGTTCAGTGGTCTCACCGCACTGAGGGGGGAGAGATCAGAACGTGGAGCTGCAGTAGTGTCTGGAGTTTGAACAGGGCAGTGGAGAGAAGGGTAGTGTCTGGAGTCTGAACAGGGCAGTGGAGAGAAGGGTAGTGTCTGGAGTCTGAACAGGGCAGTGGAAAGAGAAGGGTAGTGTCTGGAGTCTGAACAGGGCAGTGGAGAGAAGGGTAGTGTCTGGAGTCTGAACACGGCAGTGGAGAGAAGGGTAGTGTCTGGAGTCTGAACAGGGCAGTGGAGAGAAGGAAGCTAAGGCAGGGAGGGGCATGGTGGGGCGGAAGTCTGCGTGGGGTTTCCCTGTGAGCCTCCGGCCAAGGTTCAGACCGCACAGGGGCAGGATGAAAGTATGCAAAGTTTAACAGAGAGCAGCTGCTACAGGGTTAGGAGCAAAAGAGATGGGAAATAAATGCCGATCAGTGATGAGAGATATTGGAGTTTATGACCATTAAGAATGGAGAGCCTTTGTAATACCCAAAGCATCCTGAGACGAGAAAGGCCACGTGTCAGGAGTGAATACTGTGCCCTAGAGTAAGACCTACTCTGAACTGGCCCTAAAAGAGCCTAGAGCCAAGGGATCCACAGAGGAAACCCAGCCTCCTGGTCTGGCCTAATCAAGTTAGAAGGAAGGCCTCAGGATATACTCTGGCCTTTCCAGAGAGATCTGTCCTCACAAGGCATAAAAACAAGCTAACCTCAAGTCAAAGGTGATCGGTGAGTAACTCAACTCCTGCCAGAACAAAACTCAATAACTGCTCAGAGGACGCAAACAAAATCCTCAGCATCTATACTGTGCCACTTAACAGTATTCAAGATGTAACCCAAAATTGTTAGACATTTAAAGACATGATAATGTGACTCAAAGTCATGGAAAAAACAGGAGAAACCAACCCAAAGATGGCCCAAGGACAGCAAGAAAAATATAGCCTCAACAAAAGAAGAGGTAGGGACATTCCACAGAGAAATCGAAATTATAAGAAAGAACCAAATGCAAATTCTAGGAAAAGAATTATCAACTCTGATTTCCACACCCGGTGAAAACATCTTTCACAAATAAAAATTAATATAAAGACGTCTGCTTTTAGAATGTGTTCAAATTTAAGCAACCATCTCAACTAAATAGAGACTGCTATAAACATGATATACAAGCCCAATAGTTAACACAAATCAAAAACCTATCATAGGTACACAAAAACTAAAGAGAAAGGAATCCAAACAGAACACTACAAAACCCATCAAACCACAAGGGAAGAGAGCAAGAGAAGACAGCAACAGAGAACTACTACAAAAATAACAAGAAAATAATTAACAAAATAGCAATAAATATGTAACGATAACAATTACTTTAAATGGTCTAAATGCTCCAAATCAAAAGATACAGAGTAACTGAGTGAATTAAAAAAAACAAGACTCATCTATATGCTGTCTGTAATAGACTCACTTCAGACCTAAAGACACGCACTGATTGAAAGTGAAGGAATGGAAAAACATATACCATGCATATAGAAGTGGGGGAAAAACAAAAAGCCAGAGTAGCAATACTATATCAGACAAAACGGACTTTAAAACAAAGACTGTAACAACAGGCAAAGAAGGGCACAATATAATGATAAAGGGATCAATCTAACAAGAGAATGTAACATTTATAAATATTTATGCGACCCACATAAAAGCACCTAAATACGTAAAGCAAATATTAAAAGACATAAAGAGAAACCGACAGTCATATCATAATAATAGGGGACTTTAACACCTTACATACATCAATGGGTAGGATCATCCAGACATAAAATCAACAAAGAAACTGGCTTTAAACAACACACTAGGCCAGATGGAACTAAGAGATATGTACAGAACATTCCATTCAAAAACAGCAGGATACATTATTTCCTAGTGCACTTGGAACATTCTCCAGGGCATCACATGTTAGGTCACAAAACAAGTCTCAAAAATTTTAAAAAGACTAAAGTCATATCCTGCATCTTCTCTAACCACAAGTAGAAATTACAGGAAAAAATCTGGAGAGGACACAAACACATGCTACTTAACAATGAAGAGGCTAACCAAGACATCAAAGGGGAAATTGAAAAATACATGGAGACAAATGAAAGCACAACAACCCAAAGCCTTTGGGATGCAGCAAAAGCAGTTCTAAGAGGGAAGTTATAGCCATACAGGCCCACCTCAAGAAGAAAAATCTTAACTAAACAACCTGAACTCACACCTAAAGGAGTTAGAAAAAGAAGAACAAACAAAACCCGAAACGAGTAGCAGGAACAGAATACATTAAACCTTGGTTTGTGAGCATAATTTGTTCCAGAAACATGCTTGTAACCCAAAGTGCTTGTATATGAAAGTGAATTTCAAGGATCATTGGCTCAGTTGTGAGCATGTGATGTTCAGCATCACGAACGACTCATATTGCAAGACATCGCTCGTTTATCAAGTTAAAATTTTTAGAAATGTTGGCTCATCTTGAGGAACACTCACAGAACAAGTTACTCGTGATCCAAGGTTTCATTGTAATCAAGAGTAGAGCAGAAATAAAATAGAAACTAAAAAGCAAAAGAAAAAGATCAATGAAACCAGGAGCTGGTCTTTTGAAAAGATCAACAAAATTGATAAATCTTTAGCCAGACTCATCAAAAAGGGGAATAAAATCAGAAATGGAAAGAAACATAATGACACCACATTAATACAAAGGATTATAAAAGAATATTGTGAACAGTTATATGCCACCAAATTAAACAATCTAGAAAAAACTGGAGAGGGGGTGCCTGGTGGCTGAGTCGGTTAAGCGTCCAACTTTGGCTCAGGTCATGATCTCGCGGTTCGTGGGTTGGAGCCCCGCATGGGGCTCTGTGCTGACAGCTAGTTCAGAGCCTGGAGCCTGTTTCGGATTCTTTGTCTCCCTCTTTCTCTGACCCTCCCCAATTCACACTGTGTCTGTCTGTCTGTCTCTCTCTCTCTCAGAAATAAAGCATTAGAAAATGTACTACCTAACAAAGTTAAAAAAAAACAAAAACCTCTATCAATTGGTTCAATTTTTGCAAATCCATGTAATACATCACATTAACAAGAAAAAGAATTAAAACCATATGATCATTTCAACAGATGCCAAAAAAGCATTTGACAA